TGATATCCGAGATGGGCCAAGTCAAAACACATATCTTGGATGTTGGCTCAAACAAGTCAAAACGTTTCTTGTTGCCAAACGGGGCCTTAATATTTCGTTGTTCCTCTTTGGCTATAAGTTATTTTACAGTGCCTTTAGGACATTTAAGAACACTACTTTACCTTTTCTCATACCATGAACATCGCCTTCGAAAACATGACCCAAGTCGACTATATGGTCAACTATTGACAAGAACACAAGTACAATACACAGCAACACAAGGAACAATATAGCGTGGTTCAGGTAGTGGACAAATGATAAAATGCACTCCTGTAGTCCTACTGATATCAATTGACAACCCAGCAAAAAAGCAAAGCAAGAAAAGCACCTATCTAAAAAATTTCTGCATCATACTTCATATTTTCCACCTTCAGATGCAGCAGCATTCTACTGAAACCTTTCTTAACAACATTTCATGACAAGTGCTCACTAATAAAGCCACAGTTATCCTTCAGGTCAGTAGCAATTTATCACTTAAACAAAAGCAAATATAAATTTCATTCCAAACATAACAGAATTACATACCATCAGAGCATTCCAAAATGGCAAAATATACCCTACTTTGTGTCCTTTTGTTCGTAATACAAGGAGCAGGTTAAACCATCGTTCATTTCCCCGCTAATCTACGTGACAAGTTTATACCATCCTTGTTCTGGCTGATGTTAAAATATAGCTGATGCTCAAAAGTCACATGCTCGCACTCAGCTCTCAACACATTGCAATATTTCTGTGCCAAACAATCACTGAAATCCCTACAAAAGCAAATGCTACTCTGTAGCCTATAATTTGATTACAGTACCATATTACAACATAGGCTACCATAGCAGCGCATATCACTTTCACTGAAGCTAGGCTAATGGTCCAGTCAAATGCATGCAAAATATTCCTAAGAGTAAATTATGTATATGCCATTGTCATTGAAGGGGTTAAAAATTTAAATCAATGGTATTGAAGGAAGATCAGTTACAGCGGTGGAATATCAAGGATTAGAATTTATCAGTGGCACATAAGGAATCAATCCTATTTCTAAATGATAACCTCACAATGGGATTAGGGTAAACTATTACGAACATAAGTTAGACTATTTTCCTTTGCAGCTACAAACGGACATAGATGAAAAATACAAAATAAAAACTTTACCATAATGCTATATCAATGTTTCAAAAAGCACCTGTGTGCTCAACAGGAAGTCAGGCTTCGCCAAGCGCATAGGTGATAGGTGTGCGCATTGCCTATGCAGACGTAGGAGACTGTAATTTTTTTGGCTAGTTAAGAGTAATTCATCGATAAACAGAGGAGATATGGCTTGCTAAGCAAAAAGAACTTGACATTACCACACATACGTTAGTTCCATGATTGATAGTTCATCTTCCTCTATCTTCATTTGTCGCATTTTCATTATGGATCAAATCCTAAACCACTATCAGAGAAACACCTAGACAAAACGCCAAGGCACTAGGGCAAGCGGCACTGCTCTACTTAGCGCCTGGGTGCCACCTAGCACCTCTCTTTGAAACAGAGATTATATCTATTGAGAGTAGGGGTGGGCAATTGGGTAACCCAAAAGGTTCAGGCCGAGTAATTCCAGTTTTTGGAAATTTGAGTTTCACATATTGGTACCCAATTTGGCATCTGCTAACCCTAGTGTTAATATATTTGCACAACACCCTTTCTTGTTTTCGCAAAGATGGGACTCAGTTCCCATTAACATTAATTAATGGGAGTCAAAGCACCACTACAAGTAATATTAGTGATTTTGTCAATGTCCAATATAATCCATGTCAAATTCTAAGTTAACCCATAAATGTCCTACAGCATCATTCTGACAAGTGGGATTGTTCATTATCTATTCAATAAATTAACATTTGGGATTGTTCAAACACAACAGCGCAAATGCAGAAATATGTGTAGCTATTATTCAAAGTAACAAATCTAAAGGTGCCTCAAGGTCCCTGGGAAACTGTTCTACAATAACTACATCCACAAATTCAATTGGTAGACCCAAGAGATATGGGAACTGAAATACAACACATAGCTAACCTTTTATTTTTCCTACAATCGGTAAAAACATCCAAAATAGCTAGCTGAACAAAATCACCGCAGTTGTCCTTTTGTATTTACTGATGGATTTATCCATGCTTCTAGCTATAGTAAAGTCATTTACAGCTAATATGCAAATCTGAAAAGAATGATTGTATAGCTGACTCTTAACCAGCCAATTCTGCTGCATGACTTATTTTTATTAAGTGGATGAGAAAGCCAGTTTCAAACAAGAAATCCACATACCTACTCCTATATCAAATTTGTCCTGGTAAGAAATCTAATCTGATGCAAGTGAAAAAAGTTTAGTCTAGTGAGGAACCAGGCCATCACATTTTTTTCGCGAAAACACAGGGGACCTGAGTATCGTTATATTAAGAAGGCCATCACATTTCAACACAAATATAAATAAATTATAGTATTAGTTCAGCCAAACTGCATGACAAGGTGACTCGGTAAGATTCAGAAATAGATGTATTTAAACAATGAAAAACAAGGCTAATGACAAGGATTAATAGACAGCAGATTAACATGAACTAAAGTATTATATAAGTTATAGCTTGTGAAAAAGTACTATCCTGCATGCTTCAATCATCAAAACAGTACTTTTCCAATAATAATTTACTTAACTTACAAGATATTATGCAAATCAAGGAGAGCTCGAGGTTATTGATGTCATCAACATATCATGAAAACAGTGTAATGTTCAAAAAGAAATTTGTAAAAAACACTATAGGATCCAATACCCTTGTTGGTAAACAGATCTAATCTAAAATCTACATTATTTTAACAAAAGATATCCCACATTCAGACATTCTGGAGCTACATCCCCACATTCTTCCAATGACACCACTATGTCCAAGACAATCCAATGGACAATGGAGATAAGTGGTCTACGCTACTAAGTAAAGAATAACATATTATACTGATTCAATCAACTACAACAGGTTGATATAAAATAGTGGGATGGCATGCAATCCCTGAAACTCAATACTTATAAAAGCCTTGTTTAGTACCATTGCAAAATGATAATCCTGATCCGACAATTCTGAATTGATGTCATACAACATGGTGCGATGTAACATTAATTGACATAACTTAAAGAGGAGTCCGCTACTCCACACTCCACAGCACGCAGATCCATTTAGATGTAGCGAGATTTTGCAGCGGATCTGGTCTAGTTAACAGGCAAGATTTTATCAGGCTCACCAAAGGTAGCCGGGGATCTTGATGCGGAGGAAGAGCATGGCCATGGCGTAGGCGATGACGACGGCGACCGCGCCGGCGCTTCCAAACGAGACGCGGAGGCTCCGGGGCCTGGTGCGGTCGACGGCGAGGTCGAGGAGGATGATGCCGACGCCGCCAAGGAGGAACATGAACCCGGAGGAGAGCCCCTCGATGATGTACTGGCCGTTGACGCGCCCCGGGAGGAAGACGACGGGGCGGACGGCGCCGGTGCCGGGGTCCTGGGCGCTGCCGATGCCGGGGGGCTCGACGATGACGTCGTAGACGAGGCCCGAGACGACCGCGAAGTAGGTGAGTAGGATGAGGGAGAAGACGGTCATGGGTGAGGGGAGCGCCAGGTTCGACGGCAGCCTCAGGCGGGTGCGCGGCGGCCGGAGGAAGGAGAAGGGGAGCACGCGGAGGACGTGGAAGACGGGATCTATGGAGTCGAAGTTGGCCTGCGTGGCCGCCGCAGCGGCGGCGCTGCCGGCGGCGTGATCCGATCTAGGGGGCATCGCGCGTGGAGTGGGAAGAGAAAATACGGGCCACGCCTGGGGTTTGGGCCTATTGACGTTCTGGCAGTCAAGGGGCGTTTTTCTACGAGACTTTTCTCTGCTATTATAAAAGATCGTAATCCTGGCTGAAAAAATTCAGCGGTTTTCAGCATAACTACTCTAACTTTTTTAGCCCTCTATGCCACTTCTGTCAGTTCAGGCTCTAACGTCGTCAAATTGCAGATGTAAAAATACAAAAATGCCCTTCAGTTCAAATATGTTATTAATTTTTTTTAGCATCTTAACGACTTTCAATGAAAAAACTCAAAACTAGAAAGTTGTAGATCTCGTCGAGATCTATAATTTTCATATAAAATTTATTTTTATTTAATTCCACAAAAAAATATGATGATTTTTCTAAGATATATTAATCATATCAAATCATATTTTTTTTGCAAAATTAAATGAAAATAATTTTTATATGAAAATTATAGATCTCGACGAGATCTACAACTTTTTAGTTTCGAGTTTTTTCATTTGAAGTCGTTAAGATGCTTAAAAAAATTAATAACATATTTAAACTTAAGGGCATTTTCGTCTTTTCACATCTGCAGTTTGACAGCGTTAGAGTCTGAATTGATGGAAGTGGCGTGGAGGATCCGAAAAAGTTGAAATAGTAACGCTGAAGACCGCTGAAAAAGGTTACAATAAAATAAATAAGATTACACAAACAACTCTAGCCATAAAGCAATATCAGTAGAGTAGGATTTCTTTGCTATGTGGATAACCAAGGCAAAAAGACGTTTTGACCAAAGTTTTGCACCTTGCAACAGAAGGTTGAATGTTTCTGAGAATAGAATCATTAGTGCTCCCCAGGCACTCTAGCTCATCAGGACAATTATCTCCATGAAAGGGTAGCGACAATTGATATTTGAAACTCTGTAGAACCTGAAAGGGTGAAGCACTAGGCAAAATATGTAAACCAAGGAGAGATCAACAACTTTGAGCAAAAGGGCACTGGATGAAAAGATGCTGCAAGACAGCTAGCAAAGTTCATTTATTATTATTATTAGTTATTAGTGTTTTGGGAGCGCACACTCAGCATACATTATTTCGCATATATTTGTTCACGACAAACTCAACACCAACATATTTGTACTGAAAGACAGGAAAAACTCGGAGCAGCATCAGTTTATGGATCGATCAGATCCTGCTGAATAGATTAGCCATGGAGATGAGCGCGTTGGCTGACAGCGCAAGGAACCCAAGGAATGAAAACGACACCGCGATGTTGATCTCGCTGTCGAACTGGTCCTTGCCGTGTCTCAACGCCCACAGACGGTTGCGAGACGCGGCCGCCGACGAAGACGATATGAGCAGATATGCCAATACCTGTAGGGGAAACTAGTTCAGCCACGGAAATTTCGATATAAGCTAGAATGCATGTTCCTGCCTGATCGAGGAAGAGGCTGCAGCTGTAGCCTGAGATGCTCCGCGGCATAAATGTCGGCCATACTAGACGGAGGATTTCAGCGAATGCTTGCGCGATCGAGTAGAAGCAGACGACCGCATTCACTCCGACGCCGTACCTGCCGTAGTACATCATTTGAGGATCGGTGAAGGAAAAAAATTAGTAGTTTTATACCAACAAAATATGAAAGGAGGATACTGAATTGAGGCTTCACAGGAAGTGCTTTTATTTTATTATGAGTTTTTCTTTATTCTATCCATTACCTTATTAATTAATTAATTAACACTACTAAAAAATGATTTTAGACGATTATATCTTTTATTTCCAAATACAGTCTAAAAGTTTGTGTCTTCAAAATACTTACTTAATTTTAGAGGCCACTAGTCTATATTAGGAGGTAGTCTTGTCTCTATAAATTATTAGCAGAGGCGTGCTTCTTAAATGGTATGCCTCCCAAAATAAAACCTATTTTCACAAATAGATGTATTAAGAGACCTGCCTAATTTAATAGGGCCAAGCCCACAACCGGCCCAATAGCCTTAAGTCTTGGCCACCACCGAACCCTAATTCTCACCAAGAGCCGCTCTGTCTCTCCAATCGGTCAGCCACCGCTCTGCTCTGCTCCGCTTCTCTCTCTCCTTTGATATAAACTTTGTTTTCATCCGATAGTAGTATATTGCAGGCTAGCTTTAAAAACTGACAAGATATCTCAAGCTAAGTGCCAATACACATTCTGTAATGCATAACAACTAAAAATTGTACCTTTTGTAGGATTAATGTACCATGAAAAAAAATCGTATGTTATTTCAGAAACTCATTAAGGGAGCATTTGTGTTTATAAAATGCAATGTCTAACTAACAATCATGCAATGAGGTTATTATATTAGTGGTCAAGAGGAATGACTAGAAAATGAATATTTTTTTCTTAGAGTATTTACTTGAGAGTTTGCGCCTAAGTAAACTAGTAGCACTTCCTTGGTGGTTTCCAATTACACCCAAGGAAATGTGTATTTTTCTTGGCAGTGTGGAATAATACCCAAGAAAAATATGGGATTACCTTGATGGTTTGTAGTAATACTCAAAAAAATATGGAATTACCTTGATAGTTTCGAACAGAATCCAAAGAAATATTGAATTATCCTGGTGGCTTGTGATAACACTAAAGAAATGTGAAATTACCTTGGTGGTTGAGACCAGCACTCAAGAAAATATAGAATTAACTTAATGGTTTGAGTTAGCACTCAAGAAATATATATTTCCTTGGAGGTTTCCTATGCCTGCCAAGGTAATGATATATTCCTTGAGATTCAATTTCGTCCCTTACGAAAATTGTTGGTCGATCAAGGATATTTTATTTTTTAGTAGTAATATTTTTTTAGTAATAACAATGTTTGCAATTAATAAAGGAATCCAAACTACGAGGATGGTTGGTCTTGCAATTGAACATAGGTGTTTGTACAGAACTATGTTCAATTCTGATTTGCTGACGACCCGTCCGGCACTTGGCTTTGCTTTCAGGTAGGGCCAACTACAAATAAATCAATCAGGCTAGTTCCTTAATTAGGTGGGGCCGACGATAATGGTGACAGGTCACAGATAGGGTAGCCAAAGAAGATCGAGGTCACGGCGAGCATTGCCACCCCTGCTCCTCTCTTCTAAAATAGAAGTCGTTATGGGATGTGTGTACGTCAAATTTTCTCAACTTCGACTAGGTTTGTAGAAAATACGTGCAATATTTATATCTTCAAATACGTTCATTATGAAAGTATATTCAACGATCTACCTAATGATACTAATTATGTATTATAAATATATATATATATATATATATATATATATATATATATATATATATATATATTTGGTCAAAGTTAAAAGTGTGACTTCTTGGAAATGAGAATGACATCTATTTTGGGACGGAGGGAGTATATAGTTGGCTAAAAGGGTCACGGCCATGGCTTGAGGTTTTGGCTCGGACTAGGCCTGATATAGCCTGATGGCTATCATACCCGTGCAGGCCTGGTCCAACTATAAGGCCATGTCTAGGCCACTTTTCTCGACGCGGCGTGCAAAGCATGGTCTCCGCCCAATTAGCATAGGCCCACTAAAACCTATTTAAGGGACCTTCATTCCTCATATTGAAACCTATCGCTTGTCCTCAACTCCCGTCCCTTCGCATAAAGATGCACATCGCACCTTGCTCCCACACGCCCCTCGACCTCCCGCCTCCCCGATTCCTTCTCTTTCACATCGCCTTCGTCCATATGTCTCCTCCGTGGTCTACTCCATTGCTCGCTCCCCTTCCTTCTCGGTTTTCTCCGTACAAGATAAAGCGGCGGCATCCTAGCAAAGCGAAAGAGGCACGATCCCAACTATCATGGGACGACGGGCGCCTAGTGGTGCAGGACACGACTCGACGACCACCAAAGGCGCAAGGTGCGTGGTGGCTAATTCATGTGGTGAAGCCGCATCCAGTTCATGCGACTTCGCGGCCTCATATGTTGGGCCGTGCCTATACCAAGACACAGTCCATGCACAAGCACGACGACAATCTGAAGGAGTCGTTTGGTTGTTTCTTCATTAGGCGGTCGGCCGTGGATCGGCCGAAAGCGGCCTCTTTGGCCATCTATTGCCACAACAAGTGATATGATGGCTTCTCCAAGAAAGTTCGGTCAATATATGTGGCCATGACATTAAAGGCCTCTTTGGTACAGATTCGGGTGGCTCCGGCTCCATCTCGACGCACTACGTCGTGCACTGTTTATGTCTTGTGAGCACCTTTGTTAGAAAGCTATTTTCCTCTCTCTCTCTCCTCACTCCACAGAGCCACTGGAGCAGATATTTTAACCCGGCCGGCTCGGCTTCTCTCGACACATACAGTGCAGGCCGAGAGCCGAGAGCTCGCCAAACGGACCCTAACTGATTTTTTTTTACATATAGTGGACTAACGCATGAGACTGACAAGGTATGGTTGTCCGAAACCGTAGTAGCAAGCTGAGTATGCCGTAGATCTCCAACGACACGGCTTCCTTTACAGCATCTCCAACAGGGGCCTACTTTTAATTTGGGGGCTCTTCTTCGTTTTTGAGGGCCTAATTTTTTTTTTTTGCATCTACTCCAACACAAGCCCCCAGATAAAAGCCCTCGTGTTCTTTTTAATAGACACTGACACGAGGAGCCCACCTATCATTCTCCTTTTTCCCATCCTCAATCTTATCTATACCGGCGGGCACGAGCAGAGTCGCTCGCACCTCCCTTCCTCTCCTCCCTGTCTTCCCCACGAGCGAAACTTCTCTCCTCCACGTCCTCTCCACGTGCGGCAGCGGTGGTCTCCACGAGCGGCAACGGGGGTCGCGGCTGGGAGGAGCTGCCGAGACCACGGCTGGGGAAGAGCAGCGAGGGTCGATCTGGGGAAGACCGCGACTGCTAAGACCCGTCTTCTCCTCCACGAGCGACAACCGCACGAGATTTGGGAGCGGCTTCTCCGGTGGCCGTGAGGAGGTGGAGAGGAGGTCACAGGCTTCTCCAGTGACCGCGAGGAGGTGGAGATATGGCGCGAGATCTGGGGGCGGCTTATTCCCTGGCCGAGGTCGCCGGTGGAAGAGATGGCAGGGGTGCTGCCGGATCCGGCCTCGCCTGCCCGCGACGGGGAGGGGCCTTGCCGGATCTGGGGAAGAGAAGGCGCCGCCGGTGGAAGTCCCTGCACCGCGATGAGGAGGAAGAAGAAAAGCCCACGCGGAAGATACCGGCCAACTGCCGGATGGGGGCCGTGGAGGACGCCAGCGAGAATGGGGGCCGAGGGGTCTGGTTTATGGGCCACCCAAATTTCGGGGCCTAAGTAGGGCCCTGTTGGGGCTGTGTTTTTGGCTCCAGCCCTTAAATTTTAGTTTGGGGGCTTGTTTGGGGCCTGCTCTTAGAGACATGGACCGGCATATGCATGACGTCCTGGCCGATGTTGAGTGAGGTACATGCCTAGGCAGCGGCTATCCTAAGGATGCGAGGCGGGTGCAAAAGAAAAAGGAAAAGGCCAGCGTACGTGCAGGCAAAGTGGCACTAACCTGTACGGTTCGTAGAGGCCGTAGCTATCGCCGTCCCACGTGGACGTCATTGCGCTGAGCATAACCGAGAAGGCCACCAGGCTGAGCACCGCCGTGACAGATCGAAGCCCCAGCGACAGCGTCCTCCCCTCCCAGGCCTTGGGCTTGGGCGCAGCTGGCACTTCTTGCGTTACGGGCTCCGGCCTCGGTACCGCCTCGCCCTCGGCCTCCGCCTCCGGCTCCAGCTCTTCCTTGATGTCGTCATCGGCGGTCGGAATTGGCTTATCGTCGTCCTGCTTGGCCTGCTCGAGGTAGGTATCCATGCGTTGCGTGGCGAAGATGCGAATGTCCTCGGCGTCGCCCCTGGCCGTGAAGCGCTGTCGGTCGTGGGAGGCGATCGAGGAGATGGCGGCGGGGCGGCCCTGCCTCTGGTAGATCTCCTTGGTCTTGAAGAGCTCCAGCAGCTTCTCCAGCTCCTTCCGGAGCATGTCCACCATGGGGTCGACGACCAAGCGCTCCAGTGCTTTCAGTGCCTCCGCTAGTACGTTCCGTGCGTCCTCCAGTTTGTCGCCGTCGGCCTTGTCCATCGCCGCCTTGATGGAGTCCGCGTGCTTCAGCCGGGCCACCTCTGCCTGCACCTGAGGCGGCGGTGCACCAGCCGTGCCGGCTGGCGCTCTTTTGCTGCGGTGTATGGTGATCAGCTCGGTGTTAGAGGTGAACTGCTGGCCCTCGAAGCTGAACCTGTACTGCACCTTGGCGACGTCGGCGTTGTACGGGCGGAAGGAGGAGTGGTCTCTGAGCGCGAGCTCGACGACGACCTTGCGCTCCTCCGTGCTGTAGAGGGTGCCGAACTGGATGGCGACGGAGGAGGAGCCATCGGTGGCGGCTTTCCGTGGGTAGGTCCCGGCTTCCACCGCCTTGATGGTGGCCTCGTCCAGGAACGGCGTGACGGTGAGCTCGAGGTCCTGCGCGACGATGGTGACGAGGCCGGCCAGGATCTGGGAGAACGTCTCCGACAGGATGGTGGGCTTGTTGCTCTCATCCACGAAGTTGTACACCCCGCCGAGGCTCCTCCTTGAGATAGCGCCCATCAACGTGGAGTCGTGGTCTGAGCCGAAGCCGAAGGTGTGGACGGGCACGTCGCCGGGATCGACTCTTCTGGCGTCGCCAATGTTCTCACCGCCGTCGGACAAGAGCATGATGTTGGCGGCGCGGCCGGCGGTGAACCTGCGTTGGCTGAGGACGCTGAGGCCGGTGTCTAGGCCGGCCTGGATGTTGGTGAGACCACGGGTCACGAGCCTGCCGACGAGGGCCTCCAGGTCAACCTTGGCGGCCTCGGTGGCGCAGCGCAGCGGACAGATGCGGGTGGCTTCGTAGTCGAACTCGACGATGCTGAGGCGGTCGTCGTCGGTGAGCTTGCGGATGATGAAGCGGAGGGCTTTCTTCGCGCTGTCGAGCCTGCCTTCGAAATCCATGCTGCCGCTGACATCGATGACCGTGACGAGGTCCAGGGGTGCCCTGGAGGCGGCGGAGGAGGCGCCCTTGAGATCCAGCACCACCTTCTGGTTGTTAGGGGCCAGAGGCGCGTGCGGGCTGTGGTACTTGATCAGCTGCACTCGCTGCGTCAGCCTCGCCGGCGGCCCAGGCTTCCGAAGAGGCTCTTCATCGTCGTTGAACGACGACATTTTTTATTTTTGTTAAGAAGGAACACACACGCACGCTATGCTATCTACCTCGATGAACACGGTAGAATGACGATCCCACGCACAGACTGAGCGCGGCACAGCTTTGGGCGTTTCTTTCTTCTCCCACACATTATATTGTCATGGAACCTTGTTGCTGCTTACCGGCGGAGACAACACATCCATCCCTCGGACGTGCATCTAACCTTTCCTTGTTACCCAAGAGAACTGTCTAGCCCACTTATGCCCAGCTGTAGTTCCCTCGCTCATTCTTCCCAAACATCTATAGAATCTTCTTGTACATAATGTTTTGTACCTCCGTCCCAAAAAATATGCAGTTTCAAATGCATTCTTTGTTAACAAAAGTATCTAAAATTTGGCCAAATATGTAGATAAAAATATTAATGTTTGTGATACCAAATACATATACTATAAAAAGATATCTCATGATAAATAAAATAATATTTATTCGATATCGTAAATATTGATATTTTTTTAATATATAGTTAATCAAACTCAAGACACTTTAATTTGGTACTATACTAGAATTGTGTTCCTTTCTTGACGGAAGCAGTGTCTAAGTCTTGTTTTATACAAAGCACCTGTGACGATAGTCCAAAGCAAGAAACCATCATATTGTCTCTATAGCTGCCACATCAGCAAGACACGACATACAATGTTGTGTTTCTTTGCATGTCTGCTCCTAATAAATTTTTGTCATTCATTCACGTTCTCTCCCATGGTCTCACCACATCTTCTTCTTGTCCTATTCACATCACAGGCACACGACCGCCGGCGTCTCAAGCTCGACGACCCTGCACAGCACGTGGCAGCGGTGTAAAGGCTGGAGAGCGGGCAATGAACGACACAGAGAGCAACGAGAGTGGTAGTGGCACGAGTGGGCGGATCCACGTTGCGCTGCAGGGCTGACGCGTGGCACGACAAATCAGCCTGCTGGCATGTGGGCGTGGCTTGACTGCCATTCCAGTGTCGGCGTGCAGTGGTGTGGCTGGCACAGGGCGTGAGGGGCAGCGAGTAGTACGTCTATCGCTATGCAATGGTGGTGTCAGGTGCCAGGGGTGGGGCAGCGGCCAGCATGTTGCAACCGCGTCGCCACGTTGCAAGCACTGCCAGCACGGCGGGTGTGGCTAGGCACAAGGTTGATGTTGGGGAGCTACTGAGAGAAGCGCATGCAGGCGCTGGCTAGGTCAGAAGTGGCAACACGGAGGGTGGTGCAGGCGCTCGGCATGGCTATAGCAAGTGGAAGCCAATGTGATTGCCTAGCGCTGGGCGCTGCCGACAATTGGTGCACAGTGCAGGCATGAGCAGTCGAATTGCAGGCCCCACGTCGAAGAAACTGCCTATTTCCTCCCAATACAAAACATGTGGTTTCTTCCTTCGTGGGACAGAGAGTCGACTTTATTTCTTAGTTGAGAAATGATCCATTCTGGTTTTCTTCTCTTTGCTCATTAACTCTCTTGCCACATTAGTTTTTTTTCGTACACAACTACAGAAATAGTTTTTACCAATGCTATTTCAATACCAGTTCATTATGAATTGGCAGTTTACAATAGAACCAACAGTGATAATGATTTTCACTGCTGCTTTATGGCTTGAACCGGTAGTGAAAACCGGCTTAGTTTTCACCGCTAGTTCAATATATAAACCGTCCTCAAGTATGGCCTAAACTCTAGCCACCTCTCTGTCTCTCCCTCACCCACACTCAATGACTCTCTCCACCCACAACTAGCCACGTCGGCTCTCTCTCTCTTGTTCTCTGCCCCTCCTCCCCTACCACCGCCCCTCCTCTTCCTCCCCATCATCGGCCCCTCATTCTACACAGCCATGCAAGGCAAATCTGGCGTAGCCTAGGGTGAGGCGTGATGGTTGTGGATGAGAACATGGCGCCTTAGCTCAGATCTACATGAGGGCGGTGCCAGTAGCCTAGATCAACCTGGATCCGACGACAACGAGCGGCGAGCTCAGTGGCGGCAGTACGGATGGTAGGCGATGGTGCGGACGGCGTGAAACTGACACGGGATTTAAAATTTGTCAGCCACTTCTTCTTTAATCATGGAGTAGAATATCTGTGTTTACTTACCACACTTATGCAGTATCTCCAAGCCATTCAATTCACTACCAAGTCAAAGAATGTAAAGAACATGCATTCATTCAATTGCCCATGTACATATAAACCCATAAACACATTGCAGCATGTACATGCTCAGCATGTGCTATCTGCACCGTTGAATACTGCTTTGAGATTCGTGCCGCTTCACACTCCCCAACTACTTCACATTCCTGATTTGGATTGCACATATCTCGATGCGGTGTTGGACGGTGAGGATATTACATGTTGAACATGTATGCACCAAAAAACTGCTTTGATATAAACCGCCACCATCTTTTTCTATTGCTAACTGTTCCGTTTTTCTTTCTCTTCAAAGCTGAATCCATTATATTATTCAATAATCTATTCGAATCCAAACATGAATCATGTTCTGGAACAAACGAAGAACCACCATCAATTCTATGACATAAAAAATACAACCTAGATAGAAGGGCAGGAAGCGTACTACTGTAAGGGCGTGATTGGTTGCTCCGGCATTGGTGATCCGGGATGGGGGCCCTGTGCAGGCTCTTCCCAGCCATGATGGAAGCATGCAAGTGGGTGTGTTTGGTTGCATCTGAGTATAGGATACTGGATGACCTGCATCGTGTTTGGTTCCCCGTTTACACCGTTTTGGTGTATGAACTGGTGATTCAGGGTCTTGTTTGGTTGGCCGCATTGCCCTAGGTCTGAGTACCCATGTATGAGTTTGGTGAGCTTACCACCGTTTGTAGCAAACTAGAGAAAATCACATTGTAGCCTCAGATCAAATTGCCTAGTCATTGCACTTGACCTTGGAGCATCAACGAAAATAAACACGATACAACAGTACAAGCTCCTAGTTGTGAACCCCAAAGGTTTGCAGTACCTCACAAGGTCAAGGACATCAGCCGAGTACATGGCAATTGGGACTCATCACGGCCATTTCTTCCCACGGTAAACAATGAAAAAGAGGAGTACCACCAACAGAAAAGACTAAACCATACAAAGAACAAATAACCAAGGTGATTTGGAACCACCGCTGCAGGAGGCTTCACAAACACTTTTTTGTCTTCACAATCCTAGAACTCCACGTATGATGCTACTGCCTCTTCCTTGGTAGGGAAGCTTTTATAGTAGCAATTTGGAAAACCAGTTACCTGTGCATGGCATGTAGCCCAGGTTGCATACACCCCAGGATCCCTGCCGTGGTATATAACATACCATGCCATGTGCCTTTGCAAACAACATAGAAAAACCAAGTATAAGCTATTTAGTAAATGAAATATTATGGAATACAATGGCCTCAGATAAATTTGCTTCCCCACCTGACCTTGAGTTTGGAGCATAAGAAACCAATAAACCAACAAACAACAAACCAAACACCTGACAAGATATAGCAACTAGGAAACCAAAAGAATAAGAGCAAAGTTCCAGTACCTCACAAACTCAAGGTCATAAGGTCTTTGTAATCTAGTAGACATGGCAATTTTGTTATCATCATAGGCATGACAAGAATAGCAAAGTTCAGTAACCTCAGTCTGTCATAGAACTAGAAACATCAGATGAGTGCGGCATTGAAGATCTTCGGTTTGGATGAAACCAAATCGATGATCCACAATGTCTCACCAATAAGGTGCTTCATCATCAAAATATCACAAGTTCTGACATCACAGGCAAAAGAATGTAAGTCCCTAGAAACAAGAACAAGACAGAAAAACTAGCCACCTCAGAGTTTTGTTTTAAGATAGCATCATTGGCCAAATAGGAACCCAAACAATCCAGCAACATAAATAATTTCAGGTATGGGAATCAAGTTAGGAAACTGAAATCAATAAACAGAGAGTACCATCCATCACCATGTTCCCTGCTCACTACATAGGCCCACAATATCAGGTGTTCATGTCTACACCATACACATTAAATTGCCTCACATCCCATCACCATGTTCCCTATGCTATACAAAAATATCAGTTGCCTTGGTCAGGCATCAAATGGGGTCTGTCATCACCAACACATGTTAGTGCTACACCACAAAAGAAACTATAGCATAAGACAGTTAGCATGGCAATTTGCAAAAGTGGAGAGGCAAGCTCAGCTGCATCTAAGCAAAGTAGGTAGTGCTCAGGTAGATCCTAAGCCACAAGATCCTATGAGCCTCTGTCATTTGAACAAAGCACAACCCTTTTGCTTTGTTCTTCAGCAGATAGACAAGAGCAAACATGAGTGCCTCCTGTGCATAGCCAGGGCAACTCATGACATAGCCATAGAGATCCTCATGGACCTCATTGTGCTGAGGAGCCTTCAAGGCCTCAGCGACAGATTTTACAGCCTCTGTCATGCTACTCATGAGGTAAATTTCCTCCTGGGTTAGCTTCCTCCTCTTCCCACCTCTTCCCTCATTGTCCTTATCATTAGATCCCTTAGAGCTCTGCATACCAGTGTCAGTTCCCTTGCCAGAATTAGCCACAGTCCCACCCAACTCAGTGATGTCCTCCTTACCATCTACATCACCTTGCCCAAGGTCAGCTGCTATGCCCAATGGCTCATTTGAGCCCATTGCAAACCTGCCAGAGGCCTGCTTACCACCAAATATAGCCTCCATCTCAACATAGTTCTCTAAAGGTGTGTTTAAGAACTTAGCATCAGCTGGGTGGTCCTAGGTAGTGAAACAGATAGAACTATTAGACAAAGAGAAGCAAAATACAAGCAGGCATGTGGTAGGCAGACATGGCCTAACCTTGGTGTGGCCAATAAGGTGTTCATCATCAAGGACTATCATGTGGTGGTCCTCATCCTAGAGAGCACCACTGAGGTCCTTCAGCCTAACAATCTTAACCCACCTTATCCTCCATTTGCGCAAGTGATTGTAAATCTACTGGGTGGTCACATTGACCTAAGCAAACTTAGATAC